CCCCCGGCCATCGTCGAGGGGCCAGGGACCATGGGCTCCACAACGATGGGCCCGCCCAGTGTGTGACAGCCATGCGTCATTTCTCTGTTCGTTTTTGTTCTCTCTCTCTCTCTCTTTTTTTTTTTTTTTTTTTTTTTTTTTTTTTTCTCTCTCTCTCTCTCTTTCTCTCTTTTCATCTCTCTGTCTCTCTCGTTCTATCTCTTATATATATATATGCGCATCATTGTGCCACATGGGTTGTCGATGGCCGCAGCGAGCGACGACACTCGACCTGGGCTCCCGGGAAGGCGGGAACACGTGGTAGGTGTGCTCCCCAAGACCCAGAGGGCCGTTATTATGTCTACCCCGCGCCCCAGGGTGCCAGAACACGAAGCAGCTCAGCTCTTCGGGGCGGCGGAGGCTGTGATATTCGGCAGTTGTCTTGCTCATGGCGCAGAGGGCCGTGAGACGTGACAGCTTTCCGCTCCTCTCCAGGGCCCCCCGCAAGACGTCCTGGGGGCTCGCTTGGGACCTCTCGGGGCCCCCTTCGGGGTTCTTTCCAGGGCCTCTCGGACGCCTCTCTGGGGCCCCCCTCGAGAGTGCCTGGGAAGCCCGGGGTGCTCTTGGGGCCCCGGATGGGGGGGCGCAGTCCTGGTGGGGGTCTTGGGCCATCCCAGGGCCGCCGTTTGGCCGTCGTCTGGCCGCCTTGGGCCACTCGGAGCCTGGAGGGGACCGTTTTGCCTCCCCGGCTGGAGTTCTGGACCCCTCGGGGGGCCTTCATCAGAGTGCGACAGGTAGGAAACGGAGAAACTGACTACATGCAGTCGGACCGAGGTGTAAGATCGAGGTCGGTCTGGGGATGGTACCTAATGTTCTTCGTGCTTGTTGGATGTTCTTGTGCATCCTGGGGAGGGTACCTTTGGCTGTTATGTTTCTTTTGGCCAGCGGAGGGTCTCATGTTCTTGAAGGATGTGATTATTGCCCAGGTCCGACTGTACAGTGGAAACCTGTGTCAAGAAACACCCTGCTTGCCTCCAGGGTGCCCTGGGTTTCTTGGGTTTCGATGGTTTTGCTGTGGAAAGCGTGACGGTCCCACACCAAAAACCAGTGGACGCCCTTGGGTCTCAGGCGTGGGGTTCTTGTGCACGGTTTCTTGTGGTCGAGCTCCTACTGCTTCCTTCGCGCATCGGCGAATTCGCCGGAACGCGGGCGGGCGGGCGCGCCCCGCGCCCCCTCCCCCTCCTCCTCCCCCATGCCAGTCGGGGGCTCGCCGTGAGGGGTGGAACCTCACCGCGGGCCTGACGGAGATTCCCTCGGGAGGGTCTCATGTCCTTGAAGGATGTTTTCTGGCTCAGGTCCGACTGTACTGGAGGGGGGAGGGTGAGACCGAGCTCAAAACGGAGTCGCCCCATCGGAACCTCAGTGTCGGTTTCGGTCCCAGTCGTGGGTGCGGGCGAGGCGGTGCAGCGCGAATATCCTTCGCCTGGCGCTAGGGCCCGGGCCACGCCAGAGCGGGTCGCGGGTCGTAGCTTCCGGGTCGTGCCCGCGGGTGTCCCACGGGGGTCTTTTTGGTTGCCCCCTTGGACGGTTGTCCCATGTTATGTCCTATGGTTTTGTCCCGTGTTTCTTCCGTGGTCGTCCCATGATCGGCCCGTAGTTGTCCCGTGTTGGTCCCGTGGTTGTCTCGTAATTCTCGCGTGGTTGGCCCGTGGTTGTCTTGCTGTTGTCCCGTGTCTGTCCCGTTGTGATCCCGTCTTGATCGTGTGGTTGTCCCATAGTTGTCACGCGGTTTTCAGTCTTTTCCGTGGGTGGCCCGTAGTTATCCCGCAGTTGTCCCGTTGATGTCCCGTCTTCGCCCTGTGGTTGTCCCGTGCTGATCCCATGTTTGTTACATGGCGCCGTGGCTGTCACATTGCTGTCCTTTTTTGGTATCGACATATTGGTAGTGAGACCGTGTTAGACAGTGAGTAAATAGAAATGCCAGCAGACGGGTCAAAGGCGGATCAGGAGTTTGGGTGTGGATCCAGCGACGGGACAACCACTGGGACAGCAATATCCATCCATCGAATTGCTTCTATTGGTTTATCTTCCTACAGTTCCCACGGTCTGCCTACCTATCTACCTAGCTCACGACCGATCACACTATCTCTCTAGCTATATCACAATTTACCGATCTACCGATCTCACCATACATCGACCGATCTCACAATCGATCGATCGACCCCTACACCTATCTACAGGAAACAACGGCCTTACATCACATCTGTCATGCTCATGATCAAGCAATCAATACATCATCCGGACACCCATCTAGGTCAACCATCTGGACAACCATCGGGACAACCATCGGGACAACCATCGGGACAACCATCGGGGCAACCATCGGGATAACCATCGGGACAACCATCGGGAAAACCATCGGGACACCCATCGGGGCGATCATCGGGGCGACCATCGGAACAAACATCGGGACACCCATCGAGCAATTATCGGGACAACCTCTATCGGTGTATTCATCTGTACATAAAACTAACTATCCACCTACCCCGCTACAATATACCGAATCCGCTATCTGTGTATCGACCCCCTATCACGATCTCGTGACCTAATGGCCTTGGACCCTTTCCGCCACCGTGCATGGGTTGTGCGTCAGAGTCTCTGGGATGTCTATCTGGTTATATTCGGAGCGCTCTCGGGGGCCCCTTATGGGTAATTCTGCTGCCTCTTAGGGGCCTCTTGGGGGCCACTTGGGGGCCCGTTGGGGCTTCTGGGGGCCTCTTGGACCTCTTGTAGCCAGTTGTCGTCGAGAACAAAAGAACCCCTAACCTTACTACCGCGATGAAGACGTGGCCTCACTGAGGTCCCCGTCTGTGCACTTGGGATAACAAGTCTGGACGATGTGGTTCGATACATCTGCAGAAAGGACCCCCGATCCCTGATGTTTCTGGCCCTCCTAGCTTAGGTCCCCTCCCACAGGGTTAAGGGTCCTTTCTTGGTTACGCATATTGGGGCCTCTTGGGGGCCTCTTTGGGCATCCTGGGAGCCCCTCGGGGCCGAGGGCCCGAAATGTCCGTCCGACCCCCCCCCCCAGTTAGGTCTCCTCTTGGAGCCGTCTTGGCGGTACCGTGGGCAGTCTTGGAGGCCGCTTGGGCAGTCTTGGGGCCCTCGTGGGCCGTTTTCCAGCCCTCTTGGAGGCCTCTTGTGCCGTCTTGGGGCGATGTTGGGGGCCTCTTGGGCCGTTTTCGAGCGTCGACACGCCGAAAAGACGAGAACGACAACACCCTCAAAACCAATGACAAATCAAGGATTTGTGCCTCCTAGGGGTCCTCCTGGGAGGCCTATTGGAGGCCTCTTGGGGTGTTTTGGGGGCATATTGGGCAATCTTGAGGCCTTGTTGGGCGTCTTGGAGCGATCGTTCGGCGACTCGGGGTACTCTTGGACCGTCGTGGGGGCCTCTTGGAACAGTCTTGGCCCGTCTCGGGGCCTTTCAGAACTAGAAAAAGTCATGCGAGAAGGCGCGGGGAGCCCCAGGGGCCACGCCACGCGCCGCAGAAGGTTTTGCAAGTTCGGGCCCCCGCCCCTTAAAGAATCCTCAGGATCGAGGGCTGAGGCTCAAGGGATTAGGCGAAAGACCTAAGGACACTCCAGCTCGTGCCTCAAGGGCACGTGTCCTCTAGCCCGCGCACGCAACTTCTCCTCGCCCGCACGCGCGACACGAACTCGAAATCGAAACCCATTTCCAGGTCGGGGTCTCCATTTCCTTTCGATCTCACGCCCAATCACAGGGAATAGCCTTACAGCCAAATTTGCCGTCTTGGATGCCTGTCGAGGTTTCTTGGGATGCGCCTCGGCTGCTTCTTGCGATGCAGCCCTCTTGGATGAAAGCTAGACGGCTCAAGTGGTACCCAAGAGTTACCGTTTGGGTCGCGGGCGTCGATCCTTCGTGCCTGGGTTGTGGGTCAGAGGCCTCTCAGATGCCTCTCGGGGTCTCTTGGGATGCGTTTTGGGGGCCTATTAGTGGCCTCTTGGATGCCTCTCGGGGTCTCTTGGGGCCTCCTTTGGGGACCTATTTAGGACCTCTTGGGGGCATCTTGAGGCCCGCTCGGGGCCCTCTTGCGGGCCTGCTGGGTGCGTCTGAGGGCCGCTTGGGGGCCATGTTCGCTCTTTTCGATGCCTCTGTACCGTCTCGGGTGTCATCGTGGCCCCAAGCGACTCGAAGGCCCACCTGTGGTACCATTCTGGGGGGGCGGTGTGTTTGAGGATTTCTCTAGTGACATTGTTTGTTTTGCGGGGGGGGGGTCGGAAAGCGACGCGGGGGAGCCCCGAGAGCGCCCAGGAGCGCCCAGGAGCGTCGGGAACTCGGGGTTTGGGGGCACCTGCACAGGATTCCTACATTCCACATAGAGGTATATGTGGGACTTGATGGCACTCCACTCAGAGTCTGGTGGCACAGTGGCGGACATGGATGGCGATGTCAACAGATCGACTGTGAGACCGACAGGCAGTGATACATATTGGTATTGCGGTAGTGGGATCGATGGGTAGAAATTGAGACAGATCGGTACGAATATCGACATTTCCATATCGAGATCGATGCACATGATCTTTTAGAGCGCACATTCGATCAGACGCCAATGGCAAACGGAAAGTTGCACCCATCCCCCCCAAACCTCCTTGTCAACCGCTGGGTTGCCTTACCGGAAAAATTACATCGGTTGCGACTCTCAGAGGCGACTTGGATGTTTCTCGAGGCCTCTCTGGGGTCTCTCGTGACCTCTTCGAGTTATGCTCGAGGCTGTTGGAGTCCTCATGGGCTCTCTAAGGGCGTTCCGTGTGGGTTTTTTTGGGCTGGTTTGGAGATGTGGTGGGGCCCTCGTGGGGGCGTCTTGTCTGGACGTGGGGCGCGGAGGACCCTCGGAAGGAACAGGGGATGGGGGCTCCCGCACGTGGACGTTGTCATGACGGGGGATCGGAAGACGAGTTACATGAACAACAGCAAGAAACACGCATGCAGCGTTGCACGCTCTACCTGCCAGGTCACATGGTGGTGGAGATTTCTTTGGTGGAGGACAACGTCTTTAAAGGAATGCACAACTTACCATTAGCCATCCTGGTTCAAATTCCATAGCATATTGCATTTTGATGGCTGGACCAGGCCCTTTCTGGCAATCGAACTTGCATTTTGTACCATCTCGCTTCCGCGAAGCAAACGTAAAGTGAGAGCATGGCAGGCAGTTTCTATGAGCACCCGCCGTTAGCATTTGCCTCAATTGCGGTCGGAATGCTTATCACGGGCGTGATCACGATGAATTTGCGAGACTTGTGGGAGGTAACGGACTTCCACTATCCAGTCCATTGGGTTTGGATGTCGCAAGTTGGATACAGCTTGGCATGGATTGCGCACCGTCTGACAAAACACACGGATCCTGGTTGCGTGCCGTCCACGATGGGCCTCCAGAAAGGAATGGGTATCCATCAGAAGACTTATATTATCGCCATGATCCTGGATGCCATGTCCATGGTCTGTGCCCACGAGGCAATGGGCTCCATTAGCGCAGCCATTGTCCAGATGATGCGGAGCACGAAGCTCATCATTGCCTTCTTCATCACAACGGTGGTCATGCAGAAGAAGCAGCTGCCGCGGGAGCGCGCGGGAGTACTCCTCGTGCTTCTAGGGGTCGTCGTGGTAGTTTACGGCAGCGTCATTCCAGCCAATACATCATCGGCGGGGCTTGACGGCAGTGGATCCAGTAAGTGGTTTGCTTTGTTGCTTTGCTTCGTGGCGGAGCTCTTCAATGTAGCATTCTACCTCTATCAGGACCACACTTCAAAGAAATACGACCTGCCTGCCTTCCACACTGTTGGAGTGATGGGCATGTATGGTGTCATCGTCTTCTCCGTCGTCCTTGTGAATCTCAACATGGCTAACATTGAGAACTCATTTCATGCCTTCGACCGGTTCACTCATTCTTGGCCTGTTGCGCTCTCGTCCATCGGCTACATCATCCTTCTCTGCGTCTATGAGATCTGCGGCGTGGTTGTGTCGAAACAGGGCTCAGCCATCCTGAGGGCCCTCATCGATGTATCGAGAGGGGCTCTCATATGGGCGGTCGAGCTCTATTGCGGGTGGGTCCAATTTGAGGCGTTGCACGGGATTGGCTTCGCGATCATCATCTGTGGCACGCTCGTGAACACCGGCATCATCCACCTGGCCGTCTTGGATCCAGGGCCCGAGGGTAAAAGCCTGGTCGAAGATCGGCAGCAGTCTTGAGCGCAGCTATCTCGGCGCAATAGTCTTTGTCGAACCAAGCTGGCAACGCCGCTGGTAGCATTCGAGCATTCAAGATAATCAGTTGAGTCATAATAATGGACCCACCCAATGCAGGCCTACGTGCATTGAAAGGGAGACGCCTTTTGCTGGCAACCTTCCCGCGTAAGGGCAATAATCCAATAAATCCGAAGTGTCCATTGGGATTGGACACGGTGCTCTGTTGAGGAAAAGTATGTTAGACTTATCTTTTTGCACTTTCTCTGTGGCCATCTACGGAGTACGGCCCCAGACCCTCCTCCTGCTCCTCCTCCTGCTCCTCCTCCCCCTCCTCCTGCTCCTCCTCCTCCTCTATGGCCTTCCTCCCTTCTATCCCCAAGTCCCCCCCTCGATCCCCCAAGGGCGCAACGAAGAAGGCCACCCGATTTTCCTTTAGCTCGCCGACGAGCCAAGTGAGCGTTTCACTGAAGACCATGGCGGGCCACGCTCAGAGTGACCAGCCACCCTCAGAGGAGGAAAAGGTACCCATAACTCCCCACACAGGCCACAATGCAAGAACAAACGTGATTTTCGAACCTCGATCTCTTGCCCTCCCCCTCCTCCCTCCGCCTCCCCTTGGCGGCGCTCACAACCGGGAGGCGCGAGATGGTGGGGGCCTTCTAAGAAGGTGGAGGGAGCTCCATAGAATGCAGGGGCCTTCTTTCGAAGGCCCCGCTGGCCTTTAAGAAGGCGTCTTAGAAGCCCGGCGGGTTTCTGAGAAGGCCCCTCTGCCTTCCTAGATGCCCCCTGCCCCCCCCTCCCCCCCGCGAGCACTCCAGGTGGAGCACGGGGCACCCGAGCCCGCCCCAGGGGGGGGGGGGGAAGGCGCGCCGAACTCAGGATCGCTGACATGCAAATATGAGCTGAGGCGAAGAAGAAAAGGCCGCATGAACACAACTTTTGGCGCTCCGCGCAGATTTCTTGGATCTGCGCTGGAGCCCCCTGGCGGCGCCTCCGGCGCAGCCCTTGGCGGGCTCTGCGCGCCAGGGAGGGGAGCCAAGCGCGGATCCAAGAAATCCGCGCTGCCCGCTGAAAGTTCATGTTCGTGTCGTTCTGTTGTTCTCCCATCAATGTGCGTGGATTGGCGACGGCTTCCACCTCCATACGAAATCGACGCGCTCCACCTCCAAATCAGGCGGAACTGGCCTCATGCTTCGGGGGGTACTTTCCCCGATCTCTGGTGGTTTTGGCGCCCATGCACGGGATCAACGAATCCGTAATCCATGTCAGCGCGTGCCTGCAGCACGTCATAAGTATTCGAATCCAGGGGGGCTGAGGGAGGAGGACGGCGAGCGATGGATAATCGAGTCTCGAATGCGACCGGGTTATGCTTGCGTTTGTCCAGTTGCCTTCAGGTGAGTTCTGGGGGTGGGAAGTGACATCTCCCGTCCCACGCGCCACAGGAAATCGCAAGGTTGGAAGTCGTCGTGGGAGACGTACTGTAGCTCCAAGCCGATCAACGGTAAGCCCAAGCACGACCCAGCCCAGCACGACTCGTCGTTCTTGGAAGGCGAGTCCGTTTCGTCTCTCGCACACCGTTTGTTCGCGCTTGCATTGTCTTCTCTCCTCCGTCCCATTTTCCCATCGATCTCCCTGCCTGTTTCCTCTACTGTGGTCCTCTGTTCCTCGAACCCCCGCCCCTGGCGGCTGTGGAGCTCAACGCTGCTTTCAAAGACCTTGCTGTGTCCAGGATTCGGCCGGCAAGTTAAAGAGGTTGGTCGGTGGGAGGCAAGGGGGAGCCGTTTCGCGGTGGTGGAGGCGGAGGAGGGAGCCCTTCCAACTTCTCCCCAGTGGCTCTTCTTCTCGTTCCGCTCCTCTCCCCTCCACTTGTCCTCCACCCTTCCCTCACCTCACCTCTCTCTCTCTCTCTCTCTCGCTCCCGCGCGCTTGCCCTTCCCCCCACTTTCCGCGTCTTCCCGTCCAGGCAGCAGCCCCACTGAACTTCGTTGCCGCGCACCGTTGCAGTAATTATGGCCTGCCCACCGTCCGTTTCGCTCGAGGCTCGTTCGTGATTCGCTTGCGCACCCTCGGTATTGCTGACGAGGGAAGGATCCCGATGACCATGACCAAGATGTCGCGGGAGTTTGTCGGCTCTGGTCTCGGTCATGGTCCATGCCCGCCGTCGCCGATTCGCGAGGATGATTTCACGAATCGACGATGCCAAAGATGGACGATATCGGAGATCGTCAGCGACGTTTTCGCGTTCAGTCTTGGTCACTATCATCGCTTGTTCTCCCTCCATGCTCGAAGAAGTACAAGCTACACAGGCATGAAGTGTCGAAGGTGCGTGGCGGTTCTCTTGGACTCGCGCTGGGTCTCCTCCCCAGGGGTCCAGCGCAGATCCAGGACATCCGCGCGGACCTCCGAAAGTTAATGTACGTGTAGTTTGTCCTCCCTCAGGCTGCATTCCTACGCTCAGCCATTCCATTATTCTATGGTGCGTTCGCAACTCTCGTCATCGTGGGCTCCTGGGAGGTACAGCGAAGTGGATGGACACGCGCACAGACCTCGGGCTCCCCGGAAAGCTGCCATTTGCGCAATTGCCGCCACGTTCGTCCGCTCCTGAGAGGCCTAGCGGAGCGGAGGGACAAGCGCATTGCGACGAGACCTCGCGCTCCCCGGGGGCTACCATTTGCGCAACCTTCGTCCGCTCCTGGGAGGTTCAGCGGAGCGGAGGGACACGCGCATTGCCAGTAGACCTTGCGCTCCTTTGGAGGCGTGCCAACAGCACGACCCTCGCCACTTTCGTGGGTTCCTTGGAGGTCCAGCGGAGGGACTCGCGCAGTGTGACCAGACCTCGCGATGCCTGGGGTGCAGCTGTCGCCGCTTTCCTGAGCGCCTGGGAGGTCCAGCGGAAAACGATGCGGGGACACGGAGACCAAGCCTCTTCGTGAGTTCCTGGGAGGTCCGTCGCGATCAGACTAGACCTTGTCTCCCCTGGGCGCTGCCAGTTGCGCGACCGTCGCCACTCTCGTGGGCCGCTGGGAGACTCAGCGGAACGCAGGACTACGCGGGCTCACGGTAAACCTGCCTCTGTTCGTCGCCGCCTGCCTACACGTGTCCTTCTTGCCCAGCTCCTCCAGCGGTGCACCACGCAGGTCCCAATGTTTTTATTGTTTGTTTTATCGCTCCTTCTTCAGATCCTGGGAAAGGCTTGCGAAAGCATTTTGTTCGATGTCCCAAACGCATATCGTGCCATCCTCGCATTATCAGCGCGATGGTTTCTAAGTGCCAGAAGTTTCGCATCGAAGCCAGGCGCCCCCAGCATTGCACTATCGCGCTGGAACTGTTTGGAGATGCTGTCTTCCGATTTTGTGCTCTGCGCGGCAGGAGCGGATCGCGGCGCACTTCTCGCGCGGAGGTTCGGCCAAGGGTTCAGCACTGCTCCGGGCGGGGTGCCGCGGCGAGAAGAATTTCTGGGAGCGACCCGCCCGAGGTCCGCACAAGCCAATTCTCATTTTATGGGGGCGAAGGCGGGGCTGGACGAGGACTTCATATTCGCTTAGGATGCACAAAGTTCTCCCCTCCTTCTCTACCCGATACGTATTCACAGCGTTCCTTCCCTGCCTCTCATCTTCCTTGTGCTCCTCCAATTCCCCGTCTCCTCGTCGATTCATCCTCCGCGCCTCTCGTCCCCCCCCCCGGCCGCGAGGCCCTGTTTCTTCGTTTTCTTTGCTCTGTTTGGCTGCGTTCCTTCCACCCTCCTCTTTGCAGTCCTCAGTCCCCCTTCGTGTTTGGAGTTGCCTGGTAAACGCAGGCGAGAATTTCGTGGCGACGTACGCCTTCCGTGGTCCAGGTGTCGCGCGTCTACAACATTATTCCTCCTCGGTGTCTACGCTTGCGGTTGCTGCTTCTGGCCGCAGGGGCCACCCTGGCGTTCACTCCGCGCCGCTGCCAATTTCCCCCGAAACCGCAGTTGCAAGCGTGGGCCCGCCTATCCCAGGTCGGTCTGCGCGTTGTCCCGAGCTCGTGTGGTGCGTCTTTCTGTTTTGTTTCAACGATGCGTTGTCGCTTCAGCAAAAGAAAGGATGAGTGGACGTTTGCGCGGGTAGAGGAGGACAAGGTGAATGCGTGCAAAGCCAATTAAAAGGATGATGGAGGAGAGGGGAGGGGTGGAAAGGCGGAGCAAGGAGGGAGGCGGCTGGGGGCGGCGGGGGCGGAACGAGGCGTCTCCTGTATGCATGATGCGAAAATCATTTGGCGTTATCGGGTTCCTGGGGCGTTTCGCTGGCTCCTGGGAGTTCTGAAACAACGGCTGAGGACGAAGATCTGGTCTTGGGGTCTGCGGGGGAATCTCTGGGTTCCACGACTTTCTGGGCCCGTTTCTGTCGTGCTTCAAAAACGGTGGCTTTGCGGGGCGGCATGTGTTGATGCTTGTAGGGATGCCTGCACAGGGGGTCCACGTCGAAGTTCGAGCCTCGACGATCGAGGTTTGGGCGCCACTCGCCTTCCTCCTCTTTGTCCTCTCCCAGACTCACATTCATATGTGGCGCTATGTCATGACATGTTGTGTTGTACTTCGTTGCGTTCTGTTATGGCGTGCTATGATATGGTGCGGTATGCTCTGTTTTACTATGGTTCGTGATGTTGTGTTGTGTTATGTCATGCGGTTCTATGATATGTTATGTGATGTTATGGTGGTGGTCGTGGTTATGCTGATGATGATGATGATGATGATGATGATGATGACATAACAATGTTTGATGATGTCTCGAGCGAGGCGCGGGTTTCAACACCTCAATAGAGGAACCGCCAGGGGGTAATGCACTTTTCGGTTCGCGCCAAAGTGGCGGGGTTGTCTCGAGCGGAGTGCTTGTTTTGGTTCCCGACGTCCTCCGCTTTCGGAGTTGATTTTAAAGGTGTCCTGAGCGAGGCGCGGGCTCCAGCATTCCCACCGGTGTTGCAGCAATTTTGCAAACTGCCTCGGGCGGGGCGGTGGTCCTCGCACCCGTGGTGGCTCAGATTGCAAGGATGTGTCGAACGCTTTGCTTATTTTGCTGGCCAGACTCGTGGGCACGGGTTTTCCTCAGGATGCCACAGGAGGCCCCGGCAGTCTCTAGGAAACCCGAGGTCCAGGAATCATCAGGAGGCCACAGGAGGCCACAGGACTCCCCAGGAGGTCACAGGATGCCCCAGGAGGTCCTAAGAGACCCCAGGACGCTCCAGGAAACACCAGGAGGCCCCAGGAGGCGACAGGAGGCCACAGGAGGCCACAGGAAACGCCAGGAGACACCAGGAGGCCCGGGAAGGCCTCAGGGACCCCCACGAGGCTCCAGGAGCCAAACGCCCCAAAAGGCTACAGGAGTGGCTCCAATCCCCGGTTGTTCCACGTATTTTCTCATAGATTGGGCCTCCCCTGGAACACGAGTACTGGGTGTTTTATGTATGTTGCCATAGCTTGTCATTCTTCCGCGCATCCATTCTTAAATGTTATATGTCAGAGTGAAAGGGGGTCGAACGGTCATCCATTGTCCCTTGATGCGTGGCTGAAGTGACAATCCGTGGTGAGGATTCTACTTGTTGCGTTAAAATCGCACCACTGGAGAATAATTATTGTTGACCCCCCCCCTCCGGTGCACATTGTTTTTTCAATTGAACTGCCCCTCCCGGCGATCGCTGGCCCTCCCCTCGCGAGTCCCGCAGGCCCCGGGCCCGCGGGCGCCCACCATCCCCATGCGTCGCGCGCACGTCGCTTGGTTTTGCCGTTCTCGGTTCGGGAAAGTCCTCGCTGGCGCAGCGGTTCCCCCGCGCGTTTCGCTCGCGTGTTCGCGTGCGGTGTCCAGCCGCCCGCTGCTGGCCTGGGCGGGTAGTATGGCGGGTTTTCCTCGTCTGCGATCGCCGTGCCGTTCCGCGCCGTCCGCAGAGTCTCCGGATTCCCGCCGCCTCCAGGCGCCGCGCGAGCGTCGCCGCGCACTGCCGTTTTCGGCTTGGCCAGGGGTAGGGGTAGGGGTAGGGGGGGATAGCGGAGAGGGTTTCTTCGACTTGCGCCTCTCGGTGGTGGCCAAAATCGGCGGCGGCGCCCGCTGGAAACGAGCCCCTTGGTTCGATCCATCGCGCTGCCGACGTCGATTCGACCCCGCCGTGCCTTACCAGGAAGGTGGAGGGCCAAGCGGGGGGGCCGACTGCGAAGCAGGATGAGGAGGGCTTCCAGGCGGGGATGGAGGAGGGAAGGGGGCCCGCAAGTGGCGGCAGAAGCAGTTGGGCGAGGCCGTGGCGACGCACCGCAGCCGATGCGCGGCGCATCTGAGCTTCGGTCTTCCAGGCGAAGCGTTCCCCGTGAATTGGGAAACGGTTTGTTGGCAGCGGTCCGCCCGACCCTGCGAAGGCACATGTTTCGGATGAGTATGTTCTGCACGTGGGTCAGAGCTGACCCATGAGCAAGCGACTTCCACGTGCATCACTCACAAGCCATCGCACCACTCACAAAGAGAGAGAGAGAGAGAGAGAGAACAAAAAAACACATAAAAAGAGAGAGAGAGAGAGATAACGAGATAGACAAATAAATAAAGAGAGAGAGAGATAAGAGAAAGAGAGAGAGAGAGAGAGAGAAAGAGAGAGAGAGAGAGAGATCGCGCTCCTCGCCGACAGCTCCCGTTGATGAGGCCGCTGTTTTCGCTCTTCCCTGAGTAATGTGCGCGGCGGGAGGGGGTCAGGGCCCCTTCTTCTTGAGCTGGGCATGTCCCTCTATAAGAAAGGTACTCAATAATAGTCCAGCAATAGTCTGGTTACGATTTTCCAGGCCATCATGATCATACAACGAGAGTGCTTGCGTACTTCGTTTTTATGTCAGAATCCGCCTGTAGGAGGGCATGCCCGACCGAATCCTTCCCCTTGATCCTTGATCCTTAAACCTCCATCGAGCTGTCACAGCCACACCAGAACTGAGCTCTGGGCGAATCTACCTCTTTGGCAGCAGCCTGAAGCGGGACATGGCACAGTCCGTCCGCCCTCGCGAGAAGCGACGGTGACACGCGGGAAAGAGACGAGGAGGCGGGTCCTTTCTCCCATCCCCCCCCCCCCCAGAAGCCCCACCCCTGGACGAGAGGCTTCTTCGATTTCGTAGCCATGATGGCGCTCAGCCGTGGCGGCGTGGCAGGCGCGCCCGGAGGGGGGAGAGAAGGAGGAAATGAGGGGCGAGAAGGAGGAGGAGGAGGAGGAGGGGGAGGAGGAGGACGATGACGAGGACGAGGACGAGGACGACGAGGATGACGAGGAGGAGGAGGAGGAGGGCGATGAGGAGGACGACGAGGGCGAGGACGGGAACGAGAACGAGGACGAGAACGAGGACGAGAACGAGGGCGAGAAAGAAGAGGAGGAGGAGGAGAAGGAGGAGGAGGAGGAGGAGGAGGAGATGGAGGAGGAGGAGGAGGAGGAGGAGGAGGAGGAGGAGGAGGAGGAGGAGGAGGAGGAGGAGGGAAGGGGGAGGCGGGAGGAGGAGGAGGAGGAGGAGGAGGAGGGAGACGAGACGAGGACGAGGACGAGGAGGAGGACGAGGAGGAGGACGAGGAAGAGGAGGACGAGAAGGGGACGAGAAGGAGGAGGAGGAGGAGGAGACGAGGACGAAGACGAGGACGAGGACGACGAGGACGAGGACGAGGACGAGGACGAGGGCGAGGACGAGGACGAGACGAGGACGAGGACGAGGACGAGGAGGAGGAGGAGGAGGAGGAGGAGGAGGAGGAGGAGGAGGAGGAGGAGGGAGGAGGAGCGGGAGGAGGAGGAGGAGAAGAGGGAGGAGGAGTAGGAGGAGGAGGAGGAAGAGGAGGAGAAGCAGGAGGAGGGGGAGGAGGAGGAGGAGGAGGAGGAGGAGGAGGAGGAGGAGGAGGAGGAGGAGGGAGGAGGAGGAGGAAGGAGAAGAACAGGGGAGGAGGAGGAGGAGGAGGAGGAGGGGGAGGAGAGGAGGAGGAGGAGGAGGAGGAAGGAAAGAACAGGGGGAGGAGGAGGAGGAGGAGGAGGAGGAGGAGGAGGAGGAGGAGGAGGAGGACGATGAGGAAGAGGTCGTCGGCGCAGATCCCCAAACCATTTTAACGAGTGTTGGGCGCTGTCCCCCGTCTGCTGGGGAAGGCCCGCGCCGGAGCAGCGGTGGCGGGAAGGCGGTCGAAAGAAGGAGGGGATGGGAGTGGCGGAGGGAGGAGTAAGAGGTGGAGAGGAGGAGGAGGGTGCCCGGTACGAGGGCAGAGGGCGCATGCAGGACGAAGTGGTCGCAAGGGGGGGGGGAGGGCGGAGGAAGCGGGGATCGCGGCGCAGGGGTTCCTGGACGCACCTGTGCGCCGCTCCCGCCTCCCCGGCAGGCGTCGCGGAGAGATGCACGACGGGCGCGCCCGCCAGGGCAGGTGCTCGGCCCCCCGTGGGCCCTCACGAACCGATGTCGTCTATAAGGTATCTTGCTGTGGGGAGGGGGGAGGGGGACTGCTACCTTGTTGAACCGCAGCGGATCGACCTTTCTTGGTGCAAGATGGAGACCTACGTGCCAGCCCTTCAAAACCTGCCAGCTCCGCGTCCGGCGTAGTGCAGGGCGTTCAATTTCGGGCGTTGTGTAGTTAATGGCGGGCGGTACATGGGGGGGGGGGGAGAACAGGTGCACCTTTTGCGCGCCGAGGGGGGCCTAGAGGGGCCCCCCGCGGGGCCCAAAAGGGAAGCGAAAGGTGCACGTTTCTTCCCATCTTCGTGAAGCAACGCCCTGGTTCTTGGTCCGTTCCCTGGGAGTGCCCGTCTTAGCGCGGCCCGCAGCTTCTTTGGCTCCGAGGGCTGCCGGGGCCCGCCGCCGCCTTTTCGCGATGGCCCCCGAGCCCGAGGAGCCGGCGCGGCTCGCCGCGGTGCCAGCGCCGCCAGCGCTGCCCGCGGTGCTCTTGGAGCCCGCGTGGGCCTGGCGCGGCCTCGTCGGCACCGGGGCGGAGGTTCAGAGGAGAAGTATGAAGCATGTGGCCTTTCGCAGGAGTGACCTTTGGTGCGGGCACGTTGGGGCCCCCAGATGATTGAACGCGACGCGATAGCAGCTTCTTGCGCGCCCGGGCGCGGCCTCCCCACGTCCCCGAAAGTCGTGCATCAAAGGTCACTCTTGCCTAGGGTCGCTCTTGCGCGCAGCCGAAACAAGAGCCACCGCCACCGCAGACCCATCGGCGGGGGCCAACCCCTGGGCGTCGGCGCGCCCGAGCGGCACAGGGTGACGCTCGGGCGTGGCACCGCCCAGGGGTCGGCCCCCGCCGATGGGTTTTCCTGGGCGGAGGTCCATGCTTCTCTAAGAGGTGGGGCAGGCGTTCGACCTGCCGCCGCCCGCGGGCGCTTCCTCCGCTGGCTTCACGCTGTGCGCCCGGGTCCGGCGTCCGCCAGGGCAGCCGCCGGCCAGCAGCAGGTCGGAGGGCGCCAGCTATACACCCATACACCGATCCTGGCCAGGCCGACCCTGTGGCCCAGGCTCGGTGCACGTGCCTGGGCGTATAGTTCGCCCCCTTCGGCGCAGGATCCTCCAGAAGGGCGGGCCCCCGGCGGGCTGGCTGTTTGCGGCGCCGAGCGCTGCGGGCGTGGTGCGGTTCGGGAGCGCCTCGGAGGCACAGGGCCGGCAGAGCCTGCTGGCGCAGGAGGCCGACGAGCAGCAGCGGCAGTCCATCGTTGGCAAGAAGGACGTTGGCAAGAAGGGCAAAAAGGACTCCAAGCGGGTGGAAAGCGGTCAAACATGTGCATTTGTGTGCGATCAGGGGCGCCTGGCCACCGGCGACTGGCAAGGCTTTGCCCCTACCGTGGAAGGTGGGGGTATAAACCTTCGAGCCGCTCTGGGACAGGCGCCACCGATCGCGGAAAAGCTGATGCTCTACCGCGTTCATCGCCCGCAAAGACCCCCGAGCCCGTCGCCCCCGAGCAGCCGGCCGAGGCCCCCAAGGACGAGGCCGACATCGGCTGCACCCCTCTGGACGACGGCGAGTGGCACCACGTGGCGGTCGTCCACAGGGCCGGCCGGGCGCGCGCCTTCGTGGACGGCCGGCCCGACGGTGAGGAGGTGGCCCTGGAGGCCGGGCCGTGCCCGTCCGCGCCGCTGGAGCTGGGGCCCTCGCCGGGCGAGGGGGGTGCTGGCGGGCTGCGGGACGTGGAGGCCTACGCCGAGGCCCTCACAGACGAGCAGGTCGCGGGCCTGGCCTCGGGCAGCAGGTCGCTGCCCACCGGCGTGGACCTGGTGCTGACGCCGCGGGAGGTGCAGGAGTTCTGGCGGCTGCAGGAGGAGGGCACCGACGCCGACGGCGGCCCCCTCGAGGCTGGGGGCCCGCAGCACGCACGCCGGCTGCTGGCCGAGGCCCTCGGGCTCGGCGGGCCCGGCAGCGCCACCAAGGAGCTGCAGGACAAGGTCGTTGTCTCCTTCTACGTGGAGCTGCTGAGCTACGCCAGGACGGCGTGCATGACGCCGCTCAAGGCGGCCGTGATCGCGGGCGTGATGCGCGGCGTCTTCGCGGCGATGCACCTGCGCTCCACCACGACGAAGCGCGTGGGCGAGCCCAGCTCGGCGTCGGAGGTCTTCCTGGAGTTCAAGCGGCTGCTCATGGTGCACACCTTCGCCGCGGCCGAGAAGCAGGAGCCCGGGAAGCTGGGCGTCTTCACGCTCCTGGACGTGCGCCTGCTGTCGAGCATGGTGTCGGGCGGCCTCTTCCAGCACTTCGTGTTGTACCAGTGCGTGCTGGTGTGCCCTCAGGAGTCGATCGTGCACCGCGCAGAGGTGTCGGTCCAGGCTCCGCAGCCGCCGCCCGACCTGGCGCGCGGGAAGCTCACAGCGCGGCGGACGAGCAAGGGCCGGGCATCCCAGCTGTCGTCCAAGAGGTCCTCGGCGGCGGGGGAGGTCGGAGAGCAGCCTGCGGGTGCTCAGGACTTGGAGGCTGACGAGACGGAGCAGCTCCCTGCTGGGAGCTCGGAGGCCGGCGACCCCGCGGACAAGACCCTGCCTGCCGCCGCGGACGGGGCGTTGCCGCAAGAGGAGGAGAGCGTGTTCATAGGCAGGAGGCTCGCCGAGGCGGAGGCCGAGGTCGAGGCCCTCATCGAGAACAGGAACGATGCGCTTCGCGCGGGGAGCAAGTGAGCGCAAGCGCCCTCGCCGCTCTCTTTCCTCGTCCTCCTCGCTCCTTGTCTTTCGTCCTTCCCCCCCCCTCCTCCTGCAGACTGCGCCCGCCCCGCAACCAGGGGGCCCTCGAAGCTGCCCGGCGGTGCGAAGGCCGAAACTGGGGCCAGGGCTCGCGCGCCGGCCACGACAAGCAAAAGCCTCGGAACGCCCCCCTGCCGTTCCAGAGGGCAGGCTGCCACCCCGGAGCACGCCGCCAAGCGCCAAGCGGGCCCTGCGCTGCTCCGCTGCCAGCCGCCCTGCTGCCGACTGCCCTGCCGCCTGCGCGGCCACGGGCTGGGGGACCGCGGCGGCACCCATGGGGTGACTTCGGTGCCGCACACTGCCTGCTGCAGCTGCGGGCTCAGCGCCCCGCGCCGCCGCCGCACTTGCCAAGCTTGCCCTTGTCGCCGCCCATGCCGTTGGCCCAGACAGTCGATGTATCGACGTTCTCGATGCCGGGGCGCTGGAATTCCCAGCCCTTCCCCTGGGGCCGGCTTTTTTATTACCCAGGGCTGTCTCTGACGGCTTCAGGACCTGGCGAGGGCCTCCCTAGGCCGAAAGCGACAAAAACAAATGACCTTGCGACGTACCCAACCCATTTGCATCAAGTGACGAGCGGAGCTGACACAAATGAGTATGGATTAACCGAGAGCCCCAGACAATAAAGCATCCCCCTTTCACCCCTGAGAGATGATTCATTCCCTCCGGCCGAGACAGAGTTGGTCGGGGGAGAGGGACGGCGAGGCCTAACTTCATTCTCAGGGGCATCTGCTCATGATAACGCAGGGGCCGGCATCTGTTTCGCGAGCTACGCAGCATGCCCGCGCGCGTTGCACGACGCGCGGGGCAAGACGCGGAGCCAGGACCTCGCCATCCTCGGGGGGCCTCGCGCCTCCGAGACCCCGAAGGTGGCGACAGATTCACACGTCGCAGCCCCCCAGGGATGGCGGGGTCTCATCTTAAGCTGAGCATGTCCCTCGACAGAAGGAGTATCCAAGAATGCTTAAACATAACATGGTGACGACTTGTCGGCCATGGCTTGGCTATTTTTGAATTTGTTTGCCTACTTGTGACTTTCCTTCCAGAATCCGCCTGTAGGGGGACATGTCCGACAGAAGTCGAATCTGAATTCGCGTAGGCCCCGACTATGCTGGCCCCCCCAGCAGCCCTCGAACGTTGCGACGGCTTCACGCTTCGGGCCCCCCGGGGTTGGCGAGGTCGAATCTGAATCCGTGTAGGCCCCGACGATGCTGGGCACCCTAGCAGCCCTGCAAAGGTGGTGACGGCTTCACACATCGCAGGCACCCCCCCCCGGGATGGCGAGGTCGAATCTGAATTCGTGTATGCCCCGTCCATGCTGGCCCCCTAGCAGCCCTCGAAAGTTGCGACAGTTTCATACTCCGCAGGCGCCCCAGGATTGGCGAGGTCTCATCTGAATCAGCGCAGGCTCCGACTCTGCTGGCCCTCCCAGTATCCCACGGAAGTGGCGACAGATTCACACTTCGCAGGCGCCCCAGGGATGGCTAGGTCAAGTCTGAGTTCTTGTAGGGCCCGCCCTTGCTGGCCCCCCCAGCAGCCCTCGAAAGCGGAGACAGTTTCACACTTCGCAGCCCCCCAGGGATTGCGAGGTCTAATCTGAATCCGCGCAGGCCCCGACTATGTTGGCCCCCCAGAAGCCCTCGAAAATGGCAACGGTTTCACAGTTCAGTCCCCCAGGGATGGCGAAGTCTAATCTAAGTCCGCGCAGGCCCTGACTAAGGTGACCACCCAGCAGCCCTCGAACGTGGCGACAGTTCCACACTTCGCAGCCCCCGCAGATGGCGAGGTCGAATCTGACTCCTTGTAGGACACCCCCCTATGGTGCCCCCCAAGCAACTTTCGAAAGTTGCGACAGTTTCACTTCGCAGGCACCCCAGCGATGGCGAGGTCTAATCTGAATCCGTGTAGGCTCCGTCCATGCTGGCCCCATATCAGCCCTCGAAAGTTGCGGCAGTTTCATATTTCGCAGCCCCCCAGGGATTGCGAGGTCTAATCTGAATCAGCGTAGGCCCTTTGGCGACCCCCCCAGCAGCCTTCGAAGTTTGCGACACTTCACACTTGGCAGCCCCCCAGCGATGGCGAGGTCAAATCTGAGTTCTTGTAGGGCCTGCCTATGCTGCCCCCCCATCAGTCCTCGAACATGGTCAAAGTTTCACACTTCGCAGCCCCCCAGCGAGGTCTAATCTGAATCCGCGCAGGCCCCGATTATGCTGGCCCCCAAGCAGCCCTCGAAAGCAACTCCAGTTTCACGCTTCGCAGCCACCCCAGGGATGTTGAGGTCTAATCTGAATCCGCGCAGGCCCTGGCTATGTTGCCAGCCCTCGAACGTGGCGACAGCTTCACACTTCGCAGCACCGCAGGGATGGCGAGGTCTATTCTGAATCCGCGCAGGCCCTGACTATGCTGGACCGCTGCAGCCCTCGAACGTGGCGACTGTTTTCATACTTCGCAGCCCCCCAGGGATGGCGAGGGTATGAGGCAGGAGGCAAGCTGGCAGGCAGGAAAGGGGCAGGGCAGGCGTCCAGGAGGAGACGCGACCCCAGTGCTCCACTAGTCGAAACGAGAACCCAACGCAGTAGGCTTTCGAACAAAAACGCTCTCTGTAGACCTGGAAGTCTGGCCCCCCCCCGGCAGGCGGCATGGGCGCCATGGGCATGGGCGGCTGGGGCATGGGCGCGCAGGGCGGCCCCCCCCACAAGCGCGGGCCCGGGGCGAGCTCCGGCGACCTTGCCAAGGATCGCCGCGGGCGCGGTTCCTCCCGGCGAGGAGGCAGGCGTGGAGGAGGTGGCGGGTGTGAGGTTTGAGCTGAGCGTTGCTTCTGCAGGGGAACGAAGAATGACATATTCATAAAGACTCGAAGGTCCGCGAGGTTTTCTCGGATCCGCGCTAGACGCCCCTGGCGGCGCCTCTGGCGCCGCCCCTGGGCCGATCGCCGATCTGAGAAGTCCGCGTGGACCTTCGAGTTTTTATGTGTATGTAATTTTTCGTCCCCCTATTCTGTGACTTGGCCAGCTCGGCGAACCGCACTCAGTGTCGCAAGTGTCGCAAGTGGGTGTGAGGGGAGGAGGAAGCGGGAACGACCCAGGGAACCACTAATTATTAGTTCAGACCGCTACGCAAACAGGCGACACAAACGGACAGACGCTAGCCATTGTGGCAGTGTCGGGGCACGCCGCTTCCGTCGGGGTCTGCTGGGGGGCCCATCTGGCCACAAAGCAATACCGCTCCTTGACGGGACCTCACAGTTCTGAATATGATATAGGACTTCTTTGCTCGTTGGGGTGGGGTGCCCACATTCCTGCACCAATCCCGCCCCGAGCCTACCGCCAGAGGGGGGTCTTGACCCCAGGCACCCACACCTCCAACAAAATACTTGCCAATACTGGACCTTCAATCGCGGGGGACTCCACCCGATGGTAATTATTTGGGCTCTGGGGCTTTGCCTTGGCGAAGCCACTTCAAAATCGAACACTCGCATGGGCTCCCCTAACAGTGGTTACATCCCAGGCCGCTCCGACTTGATTCAGCAGATGCCCAAAGAAGTGTTTCAGCAACCTCCTCTTAAACCACGGCGAACTCGGACCCACCGTACGCGGGAAGCCGTGGTGCTCATGCCCGTCCTGGGCAGCTGACCCACTCACCGCATCAATCCGTCTTTGCACGAGCCAAGCTTTCAACTCGGCTGCTGCGAGGGATCTGATCTCTGACTCAATCGGGGCGCACGTCTGTTCAACGCCTGTTTGGCGAACTCATCAGGCAAGCTCATTGCCTTTCGATACTTGTGGGGGGCTGCACACGAGAGGCCAGGAACACTGCATCAATGTGTGAATGTCCTTTGGTTAGGTACACGATCCGCCCGAATCCCTCACTCCTCAATCGGATCCACCACCCTAGGGGTCCCTCTTCGCTGTCCGACACTCGGTGCCACCCATCAAATTTAAGACGACCTGGCTGTCCGTGCAGAGCCAGCTGGGCCCCTGGGTGAGCTCCAGGGCCCACCAGGGAGCAGTCAGCTCAGCACACGACAGGGAGGGGTAGCGGGAGAAGAGGCGGGCGGGCGAGGGGGCAGGCGGAGTAAATGAGGCGGTGGATGGGGCAGTGGACGAGGAGGGAAACGATAAGGAAGGGGGAGGGAGGATGGGGATGCGGAGGAAGGGGAGGAGGGGGGAGGCGGATGGAAGAAGCGCGCAGGATAGGAGAGGAGGTGGGGACGAGGGACCGAGGCGCAGGGGGGGGAGGAGGGGGGGGGTTACGAGAGGAACGGGAGACGGAGTAGCAGGAGGAGGAGGAGGAGGAGGAGGAGGAGGAGAAAGCGGAAGAGGGGGAGTGGCATCTGGACAGTCAGCTCCCCCCTCGCACACAAACACAAACCCAGACACAGGCACAAACACAAACACAAACACCTATAAATGTGTATATATATATATATACACACGGCGCAGTATGTGTATACACTTGTGGTTATACAGGTATATGTAAATATGCGTCGCGGCAATGCGCGCAGCGGCGCGGCGTAGTGCAGGTCGTGCGGGAGCGAGAAGCGCGCGGGCTGGCCTGGATCATGCACTCACACACGAACACATGCTGGTCACGGGACGTTGGGTGGTGGGGCGAGGAATTGAGAACCGATGTCGGAGGAAGATTCCCCCCAGCAGAGCGAAGACGAACGGAAGTGCACAAGGGTCCTCTTTCCCGTTTCTCTCACGCTCCGATTGGGCTCCGGCGTGACGGCCCCAGCCCCCCGCTCCCCGTCCTTTGGTTCGAGCTGGTCCTTTGCAGCAGTCCGTCCATGTCAGTTCTGCTCTGGCCGCGCTGCCCCCCCCCCCCCAACTCCCAGGAGCAGCTGGTTCCTCCAGCCGCCCCCGCGTCGCTGCCCGGCCCCCGCCCTGCCCCGCCACAGGACCAGCTCGTGGCCAATATCAAGGCCACCGGCCGCGCTCCACTTCGGGCAGGGAGCTGCTCCGACGTCTGGACGGGAGGCTAAGGCAGAAGGGCGGTTCAGGGTGCTCCTCCTCCTCGTCCACCTCCTCCTCCTCCTCCTCCTCCTCCTCCTCCTCCTCCTCCTCCTCCTCCCCCTCCTCGTCCTCCATCCGCCTTCCTTATGGATAACTCCTCCCTGTCGCACCTCGAGGCCAGTCGAAAGGGCGGGCCGGGCGTTTCACCTGAGGCTTTCTCACCACTTATGAACTTGAAGCTTCAATTGTGTCAGCAGTTTTACAGATGGAGGGCGTGCTCCTTTCAAAATGTGGTTCTCGCCTTAGCGCCGCGCACACGCGTGTTTTAAAACATTTACCAGTGCCAGTAACAGTACCAGCTCAAGAATCCGTACAACGTTTGATGAGTGCGGCAGGCCAAACACCAACCCTGAAAAGTTGCAAAGGGCGGGCGTGGAAAGTACAAACATCTAGAAGGTGTTTTTCCAATATTTGCCTTGCCCAAGACCTCTGTTTCACGAGCTCTTTGATTCCTCATTCCCAGTTTCACCTGTTCCTTCTTCCAGGACTGGCCCACAGGACCAATTGTAGAACATCATTTCCACGAACACCTTGGTGCCGGAGTCCGCGTGCTGCTCGGATCCTCACCCTCCGCAACATCCTCAGCCAGCCGGTATTTGCGCGATACTCGGAGAAACAACTCGCACCATTAGGATGATTTTCATGTTATACAGTTGAACGTGAGGGGTCTTACAACTGATGACAGTCTTGACGAGCTGATCTCGGAGTTGTCGCACAGGTGATATGACGCGATACTGCTGAACGAGACGATGAGGAGCATCAAAGCCGAGACATGGTCCTTCTGGAAAGACATCTCTTTTGTGCGTCAGGTCATGACAAGAGCGTGCACGGAATTGCCGTTCTATTGAACCGACGTTGGCGCAAGTGTTTCGTCAAGTTTGTGCCGATCGAAGAGATGCTCGTCGACATGGACACTTCAAGACACAAGGTGCGACTCCGCATTGCAACGGCAAGTTTGCCCCACGGCGGCTATCAGGACCACCACTTGCAGCGGATGTATGACGCGGTCGGCGCGATCTTACATGAAGCCCGGCAGTTGCAACGACACTTTATTATGTGTGCAGTTTGCAACGCCAAAGCGGGAACTTACGAAGATGGGGGCGATGCTAAGACGATCGGCAAATATGGCATTGGACTGAGTAATTCATGAAGCCTGTGGCTCAAGCATTGGGCATCTACGCAACGATTGGTATTGACAAATGCAAAGTTTCTAAAGCCGCTGCATCAATACACCATGCACGTTGGCCCCAGCAAGCTCCCCAGACGGATCGATTACATCATGGTTGACAGGTCTTTGTGGCGCACTATCCGTGACAGTGGTGTCGACGCTTCTTTGAATGTGGGGTCCGATCACACATGCGTGTACATGCGGAGTGCAATCACTCGGCCTTCCAGTGCACCAACTACCACCAGCTCCCCACGAAGAGTCCACAAGGCCTCCTATATATTGGCCACCTCCGGATAAGAAGGTGTTTGCCAACGCCGTCGACGACGAGATTCAAATAACGGTTTTCTGTGAAGATTCGTGTGGCTGGTGCAAGCAGGTCGAAGACATTTTGAAGGGTGGTTTAACGAAGTGCTTCTGGATCCCGACAACGATTGGCCAGAAGACACAGGACCGCCAGCATGAGGAACTCCAAGGTCTGTTTGAACAGCGCCGACGCGTACCACGAGAAGACACTGCTAGACGAAATACCATCACAAAGCGAATACGGAGAGAAATACAAGCTTTTCGACGAGCTGCTAGACATTCACACATTGAGAACGTAATCGACGACTCCAAGAAACTTGAGAACGTTAGCGGCATTAACAACAATGGGCGCAATAACCTGATACCGCACATGACCAACGACGACGGCACCAATGAACATGGGAGAAAGGGCATTGCAGACATTTCTGCTGATTTCTACGGGACACTTTACAAGGAGCAGCGAAGGGAGCTTCACCAGGACATCGAAGATCACGGCAACAACGGCGAACGGGTTCCGGAGTTCACGATATCAAAGTTCAGGACAGGTCTCAAGCAATTTAACAACGGCGAGCCTCCAGACAAAGTGGGCGTGTTGGCTGGGATGTTGAAAGCCGGCGGGCTGGTACTTGAACGGGCATTGTTGAAGTTGTACAATGACGTGCCCAAGCCGGAAGCACAACCTCCAGAACAATGGCGCTGACTTGGCATCACAGTTATTTACAAGTCTGGTGACTCATCCCACCCACAGGGACACCGCCCTGTCACAATCATTCTTATTTTTGTGCAAGCTACGCAGTAAACTCTTGTACAACAGGCTCGAATCGACCTTGTGGATTCTCATCAGCCTCCAGACCAAGCATGATTCGGGCGACACTTTTCCACAGACGACCACTTACTGACGTTATCCTTGGTAGCAGAGAAAGCTGACGAATGGCAGCTTCCAGTGTCGGTGGCGATGCTCGACTTTGAAAAAGCTTTCGACGCTGTGTCGCATCGTGAACGATGGAAGGCTTTGGCCGCGCAAGGAGTTTCTCATGCCTATATCTCAAGTCGTCGCCGCTTGTACGCCAACCAGACAGCCACGGCATCTACGGACAGGACAAGCAAGGAATTTCCCATTCAGCGCGGAACGAGGCAAGGAGACCCATTGAGCTCTTGATTGTTCAACTCTCTACTGGAAGCCGTGGTCCGGAGAGTTCAGACAAAGTGGTCGCGACGAAGATGTAGCATTTATTTGGAATCCCTGGGCGCACGACTCACGA